CGGCACATCAGACCCTTGCGGCTTTCTCATCTTTTGTCACTATGGTTCGCTTTAAAGCTATTTATCCGCCATTTTCAATAATTCAGATCGATAAGTAAAACCCATTTGGCTGTAGATTTCGGTTAAAATTGGTTTTCGCCCCATCTCCTTGATTGTATCATTGTTTTTCTTCTGCTTTCGTGTTCATCGTTCCTATTTCTCTAGGAAATTTTCTACATCCAGCACGATTTTAGTCCCAGCATATTCATTTTCAAAAGTTATCGAAGTACCTGATTAAATGTCTGAAATTTGCCAGGTGTACTCATCCGTGAGAGATGGCTTTTATGCAGAGATGCGGCGTATGCGACGCGCATCCAATAGCTTTAGTACGGGTTCCAATTCGTCCTGCCGCCGAAAAATCGTTTCTGCTGATTGTGGTGCTGATTGTTCACCAAGGTAATTCAGTTCTTTTAAAAAAACATGAAGAGTATCGAAAAGAGTAGCGTTACTGCTGACAGAGTGCAGCGACATAATAAATGAAATAAAATGGGAGTTAGAAGAGAGAAGAGGAATAGAACAGTGGAATATGTTCATTTAACATTCTGAAAAGAAGCCAAATTTTATAATCTCATTTAAGAAAGTACATACACTGGGGTGGGAATCATCAGTACAGTTTGTTTCAAAATTTGTATAAGATGGCCTTCTTTATGAAGTCACGAATTTTGATATTTCTGCCCCTGAGTTGGGTTTTTTTAAAAAAAATCTTAGCTGTAATACGCTCACCTGCCAAAGCCTTTTGTCAAGCAATAAATAGCAAGTTTCAGGTCAGCAAGTCCGGAGATGGATTCCGGTGAATCGGATGACCTTAGTGGAGCGGCCGTTATTAGCGACAACAACAGCTTCTTGAAGCCTCCCACAGCCGATCGCTGACCCTCAGATGATTGTCGCTATTGTATATTCTCTTACTAATTACTTTCTTTGAACAATGCCTTATCTTCAGTGTAAAATTTTACGCCATAGAATAATGTATTTTCATTGAGCCAGTGCCCGCGATATTTAACACAGAACTAGATGCAGTAGTGGGGATAGTGTTTGCTTCAAAAAATGTAGCTGTGAAAATATTCTTCGGAAAACACTTGTTCCAAGCTCACTTAAAACAGAATGACATTTGCTCGGACAGTTCTTGTATAAAACACTATCATGTCGCGCAGATAGGACGATGGTACACAATGCAAGTAAATTTGTGTAGGATTTTTTGTATTTTCTATTTTCGTTGGGTACTGCCATAAAACGGTTCATGCATTGGTTGCTCAGCAAAAATGGTGAAGAATACCTCTACAAAGTGTATTCTATTTGAGGGAAACTAAAAAAGTTCAACTGCAGCTCGCATGATAGCACATGTTTTGAAAGTAATCACTTGCCTAAAAATGCAGGCGTTCCGATTTTAAAAAATCTTTAAAAAATTATAACTGTTGACTAAAATTATGCACTCTTTAATTTATTCGATCGTCAAAATTACAGGCATACAAACATTAGGCACAAATGCAAAAAAAAGCCGAATGATTTTTGACCAAAAAAGCGTCTTCAAGGCGTGTGTAGAATAAAAGCTAATTGGAAAAAAAAGCAAATTTCCAAAATACGAAAATTTGCGGACAACTGATCTCTTCATTTCCGCAAACTAATTATTTTCGCAGATCCTGATGGGTTTTTTTGTACTCAGCATGAAGCTTAGCGCTCAGAACAAGTTAGCCGTCTTGTACATGA